GAAAATGTATTGATTATTTGGTGAGGACCCCAAGGATCCCCCTTTGGAGGGGTCTGAGGCCTCAAGCAATGTTATCCTCTCTTTTTTTTGGTAAAGAAGATTCACTCTGAGCTAACATCTGTTGCCAATTTTCCTCTTTTTTTTTCTTGAGGAAAATTATCCCTGAGCTAACATCTCTACCACTCTTCCTCTATTTTGTATGTGGGTCACTGCCACAGCATGGCTTGACGAGTGGTGTAGGTCCATGCCCAGGATCTGAACCTGTGAAACTGGACCACCAAAGCAGAGAGAACCAGACTTAAACACCATGTCACGGGGCCGGCCCCAAGCAATGTTATCTTCTAATGAGGTTGTTTTCCCTTTTGGTTTATTAAACAGTCCCCTGAGGTAATTAATGCTTGACAGTCCTGAGTCATAAAGGACATGTTGCTACTGTGTTATAGTTCAGTAATTTGCAAGTATATTTAAATTTTCACCTTGTTTATGATTGCATTGTGAGCGTGACTGAATATGAGTGATGCCATTTGAGAGGACTCACAAGTACTTGTGAATGAGGTCTAGCCTGGTCTGTGCATGACTTTTTACAACAGCTCTGACTACATTCAATTAGTTCTTTAAGGGAAGGAGCCCTCAGGCCCTCTCTCTCGAACAGCCTGACTGGGCAGGAAACACAGACCTCCATCCATGACATTGTTGTAGGATCCGCTGGAACCTCCAGATGGTCGGCTCTTGCTGCCCGACCTGGACCACATGAGACAGAAACAGCCAGGCAAGGGTCTGGTGGACATTGACCCTGCATAGCCAGCTACTGCCCAGGTGGCCTTGTATAAGTCTCCTATACTCTTCCCACCTCAGTTTCAACATGTGAAAATAGCAAAGGGTTTCTTCTGTCTCTAACATATTATGAAATGCCACTGTTAGGAGGTTAATCATAGTGATCCTTAGATGCCACAATTTTTTGATTCCTTAGGTTGGGGACTAAGATCTTATTTCCCATTCTATAAATAGTCATTGAATAATCATTCTCTACCTCACTTAATCATCTTACATCCAGGCTGGCCCTGCTATAAGTTGTCTTTCAAAGGCATTCTTACTAACTTGCACAGGCCAATGGTAATTTATGCTTATTTTAAGATGCTGATAAAATAATTGGACAAATTACAACCTTTCAGTCTTTAATTGGAAGCTTTCTGCATAACCCCATGTGTGTCATATAAATGTTGAGAGGAGTCTTTTTCAAAGAAAAAGCCTACACCAGGAGAAGGTAATCTGATTTAAAGTGCATACAATAATATACTATTAAAAAGATATCTTCAGGGCAAAAAATGGAAAATGTACTGTACAGAAAACAGGTACAGCATATCACCAAACCACAGAGTTTATAATATGAAGGGTTAAAAGATAAATAAAGGCTTAGAGGGAAAGGAAATTGAATTTTCATGATGTGGAGATGAAAAGAACTACAAGCTATTATTTTCATTGGAAGGGGAAGAAGCTTTGAAATGTAAAAAGGTTCATAAGGCAAAAATGCATTCTTATGTGACAGAGGATTCAACCAAGCATATAAGTGAATTACAGTGTTACTTTTCCAGAAAGATTCTAGGTTTAAGAATGGAAGTAGGAAGATAAATTCCAGATTTACCTAGAAAGAGCAAAGAGGCAGTTGTATTGGAATTAAAATGATCCAATATGATATATATATATGTATTTTCTCTTAATTTAGAGATTATTTTCTTATATATGGATGAATGGGTGATAAATTCAATTAATCTTGGCATTCAGTATTAAATAAGTCATAAAAGTAGTATCTATGGATATGACCAGTCAATAAGTAAACAAATCTAGTATTTCCAGCACATTAGTTCCCCTTTTTGACATAATCATGTTACACAGACATTTTTAAAGTCTCTAAAGGAGTTTCCACTTCTGTATTTCACTAATTATATTTTATTTGTAAGTCACAGTTAAACTGTTGCTATGTCATTTATAAATTCAATAACATTGGATCCTCCTACTTTAAAAAAAATACAATTTTAAAAATTAGCCCTGCATAGTGAATTTATACTCAAGGTTCAAGATAAGGAAAAATATAAGAGCAGTGAATTCACATGTGTCCGATTTATACAGACCAACGAAACTGGACTGGGTAATTATCTGATTACCCAATTTTGAGTGGTCCTGAGATTCAGCCCAAACCTAGGTCAAAAGTCCAAATGAGTATCTGTGGTAGGTGGAATAATGATATTTAACTCCTAATCCCTGCAAACTATGAGCGTGTTACATTACATGGCAAAGGGAGATTAAGTTAGCAGATGAAATTAGGTTGCTCATCAGATAAATTTAAAATAGAGAAATTATCCTGGATTATCCAGGTGGGTCCATTGTGATCACAAGGTAAATGTGGAAGAGGAAGGCAGAAGAGCGACAGTCAGAGTAATTCGATGTGAGAAAGATATGATTGGCCATTGCTGGCTTTGAAGATGGAAGGGAGTCACGAGCCAAGGAAGAGGGCAGGCAGCCTCCAGAAGCTGGAAAAGAAAGGCAGGAACTGAATCTCCCCTAGAGCCTCCAGAAGGAGCATAACCTGCAGACACCTTGACAGTGAGCCCAATTTCTGACTTCTCACTTCCAGAACTAGAAAATAACACATTTGTGCTGTTTTAAACCAGTTTGCTGTAATTTTTTACAGCAACAACAGGAGATTAATACAGTAACCATCTAGTTGAATGGTCAAGGCTGCAATTTCATTAATTGCATAATTAATTAATAATTGCATTAATTATGACCCAGACGGATTAGCCTAAACCTCCCAAATATCCCATTTTCCTTTTACCACATGCCAGACAAACCTGAACGCAAAGCTGCGAGACTGAGAAGCAATTGTCTCTGATAAATACATATTGATTCCTACATCACCTTGAAACTTCATTAGCAAAATAAATCGCTATTCTCTCTTACCAAGAAAATAAAATAAAATTACATTTTAGAAAAGAAGTGTGTAAATGTTCTTTACGTTATATTATGTTATGTTCTTTATGTTAATATTAATAATCATATATGTAAATATATGTGTGTTTCTTAAAGCATACCTGACAATATTTCTGAAGTCTTCAAACATGACTTTGATATCCATCTCTAGGATTAGAAACACTAAAAAAATAAAATAAAAAATTGAACAACTGTCCTGAAGTGGTGAGTAACCTATCATGGGGGCAAATCAACCAGAAGACCTAGCCTGGACGTGGCAGATGATTTTCCTACATTTAGTAGGAGATTGGGTTCAACGAGCTTAAAGTCTCTTTCTGACTCTCAGTTTACAGGAAGTTTTCTTAATTCAGAGGACATTGATAGTAACACTGTTGGCAGGGCGGATATTTGAAATAGCCTCCATTAGATGTAAGAAGCTGGCAACATGGCTCCTGGGAGACTTCTGCATCCTTATCTGATCAATTCCAAAGTGAAATATTAATATGATTTAAGAAGAAAAGACATCAAGAAGAAGCCTCTTAAATTAACAATTACAGAACTATATGATTGTTCACTGAGTGTTTAGAAATGATCAAAATTGCAACTATCGAGTTCAGAACTCTTAGTTACATGTCAGGAGGACTCTTTTTCTTTTTTTTTTTTTTACAATATCTGGAAGAGATTATTATATAACATTCATCACTTGAAAATATTTTTCGTTGATAAGTTAAACCATAGTAAATTTCTTAAAATGTAAATCAAATCAAGATGTTCAGTATTAAAAAATAAACAACAAACCAAAACGACAGGACAATATCCCTTCAAATAAAATGCTGTATGATTAGTGTATTCTTTTGTATAGCAGCAAATGCCACTCAGGCATTTTTTAAAGCCAACAGAAGGAATGTTATCAAATTACCTGATGACTGTACTAGTGAGTTCATAAGATAGTAGCAATCTTAAGACAAGATGAAATGTTCTCACAAAGGAAAAAAGCCACCTTATTTATGCCACATCTACTTCCCATGCCTGATTATCTCATATGCTAGCCTTCTCACCAGAGCACCAAAGGGACTTACTTGCCTAGGGAGATTAATACTGGAAGGTATAACATTCTCCAGAATCCACATCTGTTTGGTCATCTCCACACTGCATAACAATTTAGGGCCAGATAATGGCACCCTGGAAGCACCATGGATAGGATGGGATCCTCTGTTTACCTAGAGTGCCAACAAGGTGTTCAATTCCTATTTTTTCCAAACCATCATTCCCTCTCTTTTCTGTATCTCTCAGGACCAACTCCACACCAAAGCAAGTTGGGGAGAGGAGACAATAATTTTTACATTGGGCACAAGCCAAAATAAGCTTCAATGTGATGAATCCAGAGTCCACGCTGATCCTTAGAAAAGGTATGAAAGATGTAAATAACTCTCCGTGTATAATTTGCAAAGCACTGGTCGGGTCCACAGACATCTCCCTTCTGTCATGTTCTCCATTTAGGTTTTTTCTTTAGGGGCTGGAATGTTTTGAGGTATTCAGGATCCCTTGTTAAAATGCTAATACTTCCAGGAAGTAACTTGAGAGCTCTAACACAAATATAATTAAGGACACAAGGGCTGATCTGGAATTGGGGACCACCAATGTAGGCAAAAAGAATTTACAAAGCCAAAATCTTGGCCTTGAAATATAATTTGGGACCTGTCTTATTTCAGAGGTGCAATTTATTGAAAGCTTCATTGGTCCCAATTTTGACTATTCCTCAAAGGGAAAGTGTATTACCTAAATTACCACTCCCAAGAGACCAAAAAATATCATTAGACTGCAAGTATTTAAGATTGTAAATGTCTGATTTTTTCCATAGTAAACAAGCAAACAACATAATAAACTCCAAAACTAAAGCACATAAGGAGTTAAAATGTTATCTTTGAATTGTCACATGCTTAGTGATTGGAGAAAAATGTTTAAAAAGTCTCTTTGGCAAGATTAAAACTGCATAATACATTTTTTTAGTGAATACTAAATGATAAACTTACATCGGAATTAAATCTCAACTGGCAAATGTTGCATGATATGATTTGCTTTCTTCGATGAGGAAGAGGAACTCCGAATGTGTGATTTATTACAGCTTTCTGAATTGGGTCCATCTGTAATGAGAAAAAAATACAACAAATAGAAATAAACCTTGTCAGTTCCATTGGAATGTTGCCTATTTTACTAAAGAGCCAGTCTGTACAGCTTCAATCTACTGCTCACATCATACAAAACATTTTTCTTCTAAGAAACGGCATTTCTACTTTCTTGGAAAATAGACAACAATAAGCTGAAAGCTCCGTATGATAAGGAAATGATAAATGTACCCATTAGAGTCTGCATACTAACCGTTTTTCTTATTTAGGATCAACAATTGTCTCAGTTTGATAATCCTAAAATATAATTAAAGATTTGTCAAAATTCAGTTATTGCGAATGCCAGCAATGTGACACAAAGGTTTGTGTATACCACTGCCACAAAATGCACTTTAAATAGACTTGGTCACAAGAGCAGCTCTGAAAATAAATTATGCACCATTATCCAACATTAACCTCATGCTATGCTTGGTATCTTTTCTATCTTAAGAATATAGTATACAAATCTTGCTTTCTAAGAATTTAAACACACAGAGCTATCAACTCATTCAACAATCATTTATTGACCACCTCATATATACTGCTATCCTATGGACTTATTATTGGAGGTTCAGAGAAGTTTGGGCCAGAAGTCAGTTGTCTTTCTCCATCCCATATTCCCAGGACAGGACAAGCAACACCAAAAATACAGTGTCAGCAACCCAGCTCTGATAAAAATTAATGTCTTCTCACCAAGCTTTGTCCTACAGTCCACATTAGTGGTTCTCAACTGCTAGAATGAGATATAAAATTTTGATCTGCTTCTTAACAGCTGTGCAACATCTGCTTATCCATGTCTCTCTCTTAAGGTTACGATGAGGTTTAAAAGTGTTAATTCACAAAATTTATTTAGCACAGTCATTGCTGGGCACATTAAGAAATCAATAAACATTGACTATTATATTTTGTCTATTGCACCACATGTGAAGATCAAGGCTAACAGAAGGCTCACGCTCCTATAGTCATTGTTGGCACATTACCGATTTCTCACATAACCAAAAAACATTTCAAAATAATTTAAATGTTACACATATAGCCATAACTTTTGTTGAATGCCTGCAAACTTTAGAACACAGCTCTCATCAGAAACAAAGTTCTTACGAGAGCCCTCACAATAGGTTAAGACAGCTCAAAAATGATTTCACACAAAGAAAAACGCTAAGAATGTGTCTATGAAATAATGCTCTAATATTCAGCTTCTGTGACACATTGTAGTTTGTTAATTACCCTAAACAAGTCATTGATAAATTCCCCCTCCTTTTGTGTATTTCAAATCATCACAACCAGTTAACTCACAGGCTCCCTACACTGGTAGGTAGGAGGAAATTTCTGTCTATATTCACAACTCCTATTAGCTTGTCTAGGCATTCAATGTACTGTTCTAAATAATAACAACAACAATAAAAATAACAGCATTCAGCTTTTATTAAGTGTCTTCTAGGTAGTTTACACATTAAACAGTTACAACGATCAAGAAGAACTCATGGGTGTAATCATTTTTATTTTCCATCATCACTTCAAATTTTGTATCTGATGTTAACCCTTGCTCAGATTCTGGATGAAACTCAGTTATCTGTGATTTTTCTGGTCACCTCCAGGTATTAACAAATTCTAGGATCCTCTCCCCCTTTACTAGTGAATTCTGTCATGCTTTCTTCTTCACCAATTTTATTCAGATATGATTCACATATAATAAAATTCACCAAAGTATAGAATTTCATAAGATTTGACCAATACATACAGTAATATTAATCATCACAAAGAACATTTCCATCACCTGGAAAAGGTCCCTGCTGCCTTTCTGTGGTAGATCCCTGCCTCCCACCGCCAGCCTCTGAAACCAGCTAACATCTGCCGCCAATCCTCCTCTTTTTACTGAGGAAGACTGGCCCTGAGCTAACATCCTTGCCCACCTTCCTCCACTTTATATGTGGGATGCCTGCCACAGCATGGCTTGACAAGCTGTGTGTAGGTCCACACACGGGATATGAACCAGCAAACCCCAGGCCGCCGAAGCAGAATGTGTGAACTTAACTGCTGTGCCACTGGACCAGCCCTAGCTTATTCCTTTTTGTTGCTGAGTCACATTCCTTTGTATAGATGTACCATAATATGTATATCCATTTGTCAGTTGATGAACATTTGAATTGTTTCCAGTAAATTCCATAATCTTTTCAAATCTTAATACACAATCTAAAGCTCATTCCTAAATTCAGTTCAGCATCTTAATCCAAACATAAAAAATTAATTTAAAATGACAGTCTCTTTTCCTTAGCTTGGATCTATTATTGGATAGCAGTATGAAAGGCCACAGGGTACAGGTTTCTTCGCTCTCTCTCTCCATTCCTCCAAGTTCCCCACCCCAGCTAAGCTTCCAAACTTCCCTCAACCGCATCTCAGTCCTATCTCCTCAGGACCAAAACGGACAATGCACAGAGCTTGAGAAAACCAACAATCACACAGATGTGTGAATCTAGGCTGCTTCCACAGCCTTCATTCTGCTCCCCTGGATCATTTTTATACTACTTTAAACATGCCATCACAATGCTTCTACGACAACAATCACAGAGAACCCTGGGGGACCATTTCCCTTTCAGCCAACAGCTAAAGAGAAATTAAAAGCAGAAAGAGGTCACTGACTTAGAGGTGGTTGTCTCATCACACCATATTGCATCTGTTCTGTGCATAAGTAGGGCCCATTTCTATCAGAGGATAAGGTGAATTATGCCTATACCCATTTAGGAATGTTGAAGTCCTCTGCTAATGATACTATGAAATAAAAATGAACTACACATTTATATTAAAGATGCTCTCTGAAAATACACAGTGCTGAGTTTTCATCATATGTTGGTGGGCATCATATTATTTTCGTCTTTTAGTAACACTGGGGAAGCAATGACAACATTCAATCCAAATTTGTGTAGGAGGTATTTTGGAACTAGACACTTCATGCAAATGTGGCATATTCTCTAGATTTAATTCTTTTGTTGGAATTGAATGATGTTCTGATCATTGTGACTATAAAATCAAATTTCAAAATGCAAAATAGCGTATTCTTCTTCAGAGACAATTTTATTTCCCAGTATACTTAAAAGAAAAGCCACCTAACTGAATTATATTTTAAAGATGGATTTCACCAACCGTAGTTACACCAACAAAAGTAATTATCTTTTATCATTTTAGGAATCTGGTACAACAGAATGATAAGTTTAATGCCTTTATTAATGAACATAAATCGTATTCACCCCTCTAATATATACATATGTAAATATATGTAAAAGCATTTACAGCAAGAAATTATGAAAAGGTAAAATCTAAATACTAACCAGTTCTGTTGTGAATAGCTAATTAAATGATACCACATGGTATGTAACTAAAAGTAGCATATACTCACAACTAAGGGGACATACACAGCCACTTTGACCATTTTGTCTAAACATAACCTTATTTACCATTGTAATCAAACATTTTGTTTAAAAAGAAAGTCATATATGTTGGTTTCCCCCCATGAACCAATAGGTCTGATCTGTAAAAACAATCACACCTTATTGTTTGTATGCATATTAACATTAGGAGTTTTCTAGAAAACCAATCTTAAGAGACACCAATGTGTGTAGGTAAGAAAAGAGGAGTTTGCGAGCCAAATTAAGTTGTAGTAAATCTAGGTACTGAAGCCTGGATATTCACAGTGCACAATAAAATATTAAATTCTCTGAGATGCCTCAAAATAAAAATACCTGTTTTAAATAAATTTCTAAAATAATATAACCAAAGCTTTTGTTATTTTGTTTGTTTGTTTTAAATTCAGCATCCTTATTCAATGCATCCAGCTTAGAAATCTGGGAAATAAAATCATTATAAAAATATGAATAAAATGGAGGCCAGCCTGGTGGCACAGCAGTTAAGTGCGCACATTCCGCTTCGGTGGCCTGGGGTTCGCCATTTCAGATCCTGGGTGCGGACATGGCACCACTTGGCCAGCCATGCTATGGCAGGTGTCCCACATATAAAGTAGAGGAAGATGGGCATGGATGTGAGCTCAGGGCCAGTCTTCCTCAGCAAAAAGAGGAGGATTGACAACAGATATTAGCTCAGGGCTAATCTTCCTCAAAAAAAAAAAAAAAAAAGAATAAAATGTAAAGCCTTTAGTACAAAAGTAAAGATATTAAACTAAAATTGTAATACATAGAAATCAGATCCACAAAAGCTTTGATACAGTTCACTTAACTTATGTAGCACTGAATTAAAAACTAAAAGAAATGGAAAAATCTACATGGTATTTTAAGACATATTTATCTAACTTCTAGAAAGGGGTATTTTGAAACCTAAAATATTCTAACTACATCATCCAATCCCCTAAAACAAACAAACAAAAGTGAAGAATGATACACTACCTATTGATATGCTTACCAAACTCTAGACTAAAATTCAATTTCAAATTCAGCCTATGGCCTTATTTAAAGCCAAATGAATATGTTTTTCTTCATTTCAGACTCAAGGAACTTTGCATTTCTATCTCAGGCCTAGCTTTTCCCTCCCCTCCCCTCTGGGCGTTCTGCTAAATTGCTCTGTAAATGAGGGTACCAGGGACAGCCTCAGGGAGAGGGCCCACTGCTTTCTTTAGGATGCCCGCTGCAGTTTCAGAGAGGAGAAAGCTTAACCCTGAGTTTACATTTCCTGCTCTAAGAGACCGCCTCTCTTTCTGTTCCTATTATTATTGTGGCTTTCAGTTTTAAAATCAAAGAATAAGAACTTAAATGCCAGGAAGTTTCGAAAGATGTCCAGAAATATAAAGGTTTCTCTTCCACCTGAGATTTCTATGTAACGGTGGCCAGCAACAATAACTCTAAAGGTTACACTTAGGGGTACTGACCATGTGTTTTTATCTTTATAAGCATTATTTCTATCCTAACAACTTACTGAGGAGACCTCATTGCCCCTTGCCTAACGTGACACAACTAATAAATGGCAGAGCCAGC